AAATGCCAAGTACGCTGTTTCCTCGACAACGGAAGCTGGGGACATGATGTTGAGACATCTGCCATTGCTACACAGCGCGACGTGCCTTCTTCTCCGTAGCTGTACTTCTCCACCCCTTTAACCTTGGGCTCAGGCTCAGAGCTTGCAGATCTGAGGACACAGGAAGGCCGAAACCACACCGAACCAGATTTCGTCGTACTTTATTGGGTGATGATCTTGATGCTCTACATGTTTCATTTAGACTGCTTTTTCGATCCTTCGTGTCTGCTCTCGCTGCTTTACGGAAGGCTTACGATTGGTGAGAGCGTGGGTCTGACAAACGGGACCAGGGCTGCTGACGTGATGATTCAAGTGACATCTCTAATACAAGCAGACATGGCTCACGAACGAAACGAGTCCTCACTCACACCACTGTCTGTAGGCGCCTTAAGAATTATTCTATGATGCCATCTTTTGCTGCTTGCTCGGCTCTTTGCTTGAGTCGCGGCCTTCGAGGTCAAAGACACAGCAGAGCAGCAGTGATCAGCACCAGTGCTTCTACCAGGCTTTGCCAGAAAAACCGCATAGTCGTCGTCGTACCAGTAATAGAAGATAACGTTCGCTACTGCAAGTGCGGATTTACAAGGAAGACGGCTACCGCAAGTGAAGCGATGACCAGCACCGCTTGACTCTGGACGGTTCGCGCTCTGCAGTTGTGGTTACTCTCAGCTTACAGCCGACTTCATCATGAAACCCGCAAGTTCCTCAAGGTCCTCTCAAAGCCCTCCGCGCGGCGACTGTACACCCAAATATAAATCCTAAAAAAGGGATCCTTTGCAAGAGCCCCGGCAATAAGGTACCACTGAACTTCAGAACCGCCTCTACCCTATATACTGTAGCGGCCTTGATAATTAGAATGGGGTTTTGGGGCTATAATCATAATAAGGACCCCCCCAAAGCAGTATTGGTATTTATTTAGGCCCACGTATTACCCCTGAACTTCAGAACCGCTTCTATCCTATAAAACCATAGCTGCTGCGACACCTCAGCGATGCCCAGCTGTGGCTCTTGCGAGGAGGGATCGGAATGCTTCCTGGGATGGTGCGCCGTAGATTTCGCCCCTTTTTTCAGGGTACCCTTTTGGAGGCTTAGAGCCTATAGGGTGAATATTTAGATCTCGCAAGGCTTTTACAGCATCTGTGAATTTGCTGGAGAGCGTTCGGCTTTGTCGGACCGTTCTGGGCGGCAGAAAGCCAACAAACCTGCGGAACGCCATGTGAACCCTTAGAGAATGCTTTCTCCACTCTCTCGTATGCAATACCAAGGACTATTAGTAGGTGACACAATCCTATAGAGCATAGTAGGCATAGTAGCACGTATGGCAACGTATACATTGTCGTAATCAGCTGGAAAAGAGGTCTCCATCTCAAGAAAGCAGCAGCTTGATGACGACAGACTGGCGTCCAGAGGTGACCTTGGACGTCTGCCCGCGACATATTCAGAGCCGCAGTCCAATGACAACCACTCTTGACTTACTGTGCACTCAGTCTAGTATGGCTCAAGTGCCGGTTTGACTCAGATTTCCTTTTCATCTGTTTGCGCGAAGCTTCTTGTTGCCCGTCGGATTTGGATTGTCTCCCTTATAGCGAAGAAGAGCAAGAATCACCAGGACCGTCAATAAACTTGTTGAGCAAAGCCCGAAGAATCAAAACATGGAGCTCTTGGTGCATCTCGCATCCGGCCTACATTCTCAAACCCTTCTAGACGACACCATTGCTGCGATTGGGACACCCCCTCTCCCCCCACGTGCCCTCCTCCTATATTGAAGTTGACCCGGGTTGAAATTGCATGATTTTCACATTGTGGCATAAGCCTTGCGCAAGGGTCTCATGTTGATGATCACTGCAATCCCCATTCATCGGCTGAAATCACTGCAGCCAAAGACTGGAACATCCATATTCCAGAGATAGCCTTCCTGTCGTGGTAACCCAGACCTTGCATAGATTTTGTGCTATGTAATGCTTTCCAGCAAACTTGATGAGATCTCATTGCAAGAACTGCTCCTGTCAGAAGGACGCAGTCAGGCAGGGAAGTTCTGAACCTAAAAGTTCTGGACAGGGAGCTGTGGTGCAGTCCAGGCCATCAAAGCCCTCGTTGCACTTGCACTTGCCTTGGCAACATCTCTTACATCCTAACCTCCTGAACATACACCCTAACGGACAACCCAGCGCGCATTCCCAACAACCCTCATTCCTACACCTCAAGACACCTCCAGGCCAACTCTGAAAGTGCCAGCTCGAATGTTCTGACAGCTTTTGCCGAAGGTCTCAGGCTTGCCGTTGGAGTTTCGACGTGTATTGCCGGTTTGAGGAGGGGGGCGGACGCAGGGCTTACGAGTGATGAGGTTAGGGTGTCCAGCTCAGGGGCACTGGACAACTCGACGTCAAGATGCACTGCACTGCACACCACAAATTCTCAAACTTGGTCTGATTTCAATCCTCATCAAGCACGACCTCCGACAGCATGATAATGGAAACACCACCCACTGGCCCGAGATCTGACGATGTGAAAACTCCGAATGCCTCAAATCCCATCTCCCCCCTCCCCCACGCAAATGCACTCACAAACACAGAGAAAGCTGCATACACCGCGCAGGCCATCACACAACAATCCCACCATGCGACACTGTGACATCGACACCCTGCATCAGTGAAGCCTTAACAGCCTTAAAGCCCCAAACCTGCAGGCCCTGGAACAGTAGTCCAAAGAAGGACTAGGCACCCTGGAAGCAGTAGCCCGAGCCGGAGCAGTCGTTTGGGCAGCCTTGGGCTGGACTTGCGATCTGGGGTTCTGGGGGACAACTATGATGATCATGATTATCAGTATGATTGATATTATTATTGTAATTGGTACTACTAGCGTTCTTCGACTCGCAGTAATAGTAATAGTAGTAGTAGTAGTAGTAGTAGTAGTCGTAGTCGTAGTCGTAGTCGTAGTGGTAGTGGTAGTGGTAGTGGTAGTAGTAGCAGTAGGAGAAGGCGCAAAGTGGTCCGTTTGCCCGCGCACCTGCTGTGCGGAGCCGGGCCGGGCCTCGTTTAGCTGGCAGGCATGTGCTATTCGGCACATGGTCGCAGGACGGCCATCGACGCCCCAGTTTGGCACAGGAGCAACTCGCCCCCGAAAGTGACAACTGTCTCGAGGATTCTGCGTGCACGCTGGTTTGCATTTTTGCTTGTTCTTGTGCCCGGGCACCTACTCTGATGATGATGCTGGTGATGATGATGACTTTGGGGTTGTAGGGTTGAGGGATTAGCGTCACGATGATGATGATGACGATGATGATTTTTGGGATTTGGGTCTTCCTTTCGGGGTGGGTGGGTGCGAAACCCTGAACCCCAGAAGGAGTGGGTGGCTGGGAAACCCTCAACCCTAAAAGGAGTGAGTGTGTGCGAAACCCTAAACGCTAAATGCGAAACCCTGGACCCTAAAAAGAGTGGGTGGTTGCGAAACCCTGAACCCTTAGAGGAACCAACGGGTGGGTGCGAAACCCTGATTCCTGAAAGGAATGGGTGGGTGCGAAAACCTGACCCCCAAAAGGAGTGGGTGGGTGCGAAACCCTGAACCCTAAAAGGAGTGCGCGTGTGCGAAAGCCACAACCCTAAAGGAGTGAGCGCGTGCGAAACCCTAAACCCTAAATTTGCCCTAAATGCGAAACTCTGAACCCTAGAAGGAGTGTGTGGGTGCGAAACTCTGAACCCTAAAAGGAGTGGTTGGGTGCCAAACCCTAAACGCCAAAAGGAGTGAGTGGGTGCGAAACCCTAATCCCTAAGGGTCTGGGCGCACCGACCATTTTGGGCGTAGTCGTAGCAGTAGTAGTAGTAGTAGTAGTCGTAGTCGTAGTCGTAGTGGTAGTGGTAGTGGTGGTGGTGGTGGTGGTAGTAGTAGTTGTTGTTGTTAGTAGTCAGTAGTCAGTAGTCAGTAGTTAGTAGTTAGTAGCTAGTAGCTAGTAGCTAGTAGTTAGTAGTTAGTAGTAGTAGTTAGTAGTTAGTAGTTAGTTGTTAGTAGCAGCAGCAGCAGCAGCAGCAGTAGCAGTAGCAGTAGCAGTAGCAGTAGCAGTAGCAGTAGCAGTAGCAGTAGCGGTAGTAGTAGTAGCAGCACTAGCCCCAGCACTAGCACTACCGCTCGCACTCGCACTAGCACTCACACTGGCACTAGGACTAGTTCTCCGACTCCTCCTCCTACTCCTACTCCTGCTTCTACTACACGTAGTCCTACCAGTACTAGTAGCAGTACTAGTACTAGTACTCGTACCTGTACTCGTGCGCTTACTCGTACTAGTACTCGTACTAGTGGTAGCAGTCGTCGTCCTCGTCCTAGTCCAACCGCAATGTTAGAGCTAGAACAAAGATTACCGGTAGCCAAACGGAACGAGCATGGCCGCACAGCACTTCGTGCAATGCGGGCCTGCCAGGCAGCGGCCTATGAGCGGGTCGTCGACTCCGAGGAGGCCGCAGCCTTCTTAGCACAGGATAAAGAGGAAAACAGCAAGCAGCAACAAAACAGCAGCAAGTCAGTGCTCATTGAACTGCTGTCAGTTTTCCGCGGCACTAGCTGCCTAAACAAGAGGAATAGGACCCGGAGGACCTGGAGGTACAGGTCCGATGCTTTTTTTCTTGCAAAACATAGAGCAGATTCGGATCAGGGACCAGTCCTGAACCCACCAACCTGTGACGTGGTACAAGAATTTTAGCGCCTGGCAGGCGCTCATCGCCTTGGAGAAGGTGAAAGCATGGTCGGAGACAAGCCAGGCACTTGGAAGCACCTTCACCTGCGGAATGTCCTCTGGGTCTCTGTCCGGATCATTCGTGGGAAAGGTTTTCAGCTGACAAGCAGGTCTGCGTCCTTTCCGCCGTGCGGGGATTGTGTGGGGTCGGATTCGGAACATGCCTGTGAAGCACGAGCAACTGGGATGTCAACATCTTTTTCTGGCAGCATCGATGCTGAGTGCAGGTCCATACGGCATGTCCAACTTAGCGAAGTTGCTCAAGGCCGGCGACTGTGATTCTGTCGAAGTGAAGGCATCAAGGTCTTCCTGCACTCGGAAGGCCCAGGCGGTTTCCGCAAGTGTGCAGGAGGCGGGGCTAACCCGGCGACTGGGCCGGAAAATGGTGTTTGGACTCGCCGTATTCCGAGTTTTCTTGCCTGTTCTTCAGACCGCGCTCGGTCCTTATCTTGCTTTGGATTTGGCCTAATTTCCGCAAGGACGGATGCCCTCGCCTGCAGAACCGTACCTTTGAGGGCGAGGGTCTGTGCGCCTTGCGCTCTGAGGATCGGCGGCCTTCTCGCTGCCTCCAAAGCGCCGGCTGGCGGCCTGGCGCCTGCGACGCTGCTCCCGGCTCCTCGCCGTCTGGGCTGCGAGCCCTGCTGTAGAGACCGAGCTCCCAAAGACTGATGCTTGCACCCAGATCATCTTTGCAGCGATGGCGCGCTTCGAGCAGGATGCGCAGGACCCCAGAGTTCTGGAGAGTCAACAGGGGGGAGGGGGTGGTCGGTGCGGACCCGAAGCACGCCCAAACGCGTCAGTATCCAGTGTGTATCAACTTCTCGTGATCTCATCAGAAGTTCTGCTCTTTGGGCAGGTCCAGCGCCAGGGCTGCAGTGCGCTGCGCGCTGTGGCGCTGCAAAGCCCAGCTCCGGTGCTCGATGTAGCTCTGCAAAGCTAAAGGGCTGTCTTCCGTCATCTTTTGGTGTGGAAGCAACGATGCCCAGTGGGAGAGAGGGAGTATCTACCGTGTCATCGTTCGACGTCGCAAACGAAGCACATCCTTCTGGCAGGCAAGAACTTCCCTGCAAACACAGCCCCGCACTGCTTCCATCTGTTCAGCTGGGCTCACCTCACAGCACCTCGTCACCCCTTTGCTCGGTGCCCTCAAGGCAGGAGGTGCCAAGAAGATTGCCGAAGTGATGAAGCGGCACATCAGGCTTGGGGAGAAAAGCATTGTGTTCGGTCAAATTCCTGCATGTTCTATGATGCATGTTCATGAATGTTCGAAGGGCTTGTAGTCCTGTGAGGGACGCAGACGTCTGCCGCACGGCAGCTGTGAGTTTCGCAGCCATTGTCGCTTGCTTGCAATGTGTTCCATGGAGCATACCCTTGCACCATGAAGCCGTATCACCTGACCATATGCGTCTGAATTGCGGCTATTTCTGCAGTGGCGGGCCCGCTTAGGTCAACAAGTGCCAGAAGCTTGGCTGGGATCTATAGAGGGTTGACAGCCAACATCGAACCTTGGTCTGATGCTCAGGAACAGTCCCGTGGAGATGTCGCAGCTTCGAAACTCCGGTGTGGCGCCGCTGTTGGTGGAGATCTTGTCGTACCACTCCAACGACCTGCAGCTTCCCGGAAGCAAGACGGCTAGAAATTCCGGGACATCAGTGATGGCTGATGCAGCCAAAGCGTGAGCTCAGCTTGAAAGCAGCTGCTCGGCAAGTGAGGTTGGATAAGGTGGCACGACAAACCCTTCCTTTCCTGAAGGGCTGAAGTGCTGATGGGTGTGCCTTGCGCATGCAGCACTCGCAGACGTCTTCGAGAAGAAAGAGCATCCGTGTTGGAAGAGTAGGACCAGGATGCCAAAGCGCACTGGCATCAAAGCTCTGGAAGAGCAAGAGCATCTTCTCTTCGATTCCGAGACCGTGGTGAGTCGTGCAGAAAAAATGCATGGGCAATGTCGCCGTTGGACCATCCTACTTCCTTAGCACCTGCTGGTACTCCAAAAAGATGGAGATCAACCTTCACCCGATGGTAAGCAATTAGCAGCTCAGACTCAGGATGAAGCGAGGCGACAGATGGCAACAGGGTCTAACCACACCTGCAGCTATCGCAGCACAACGCAGCACGGCACAGCAGTGCCCTGTCTCCGACTTGCGCTTCCCAAGGCACGTCGGCGGGTTTTTTCAACGGGGAGTCCCTTGTGATTCCCGTGACGGTACCGGGCTCGGCGACGGAGGGAGCACTCGCTTGGGCTTCGGAAGCCTCAGCCTCTCTCCTCTCAGGTACCGAAGGTCTTCGTCCCTCAGTGTGGGCACGCCATCCACACGCTCTGCCTCGGCCTGGGACCTGGTGTCAACTTCCACAGCTCACTGCGCATAACTTCGGGTAGCACGCTGCGCAGCCATGGAGTTGACATGCCGTGACAGCAGAGGCTCGCAGATCCTCCCGGAGGATGGTGGTGCTCGAGGGGATTGCTGCATCCTCGGGGAGTTTGCCATCTGTCAATTAGCAGTGGGTTGACCTGGATCGTGCACATCAAGATTATTATTGTTAGTAGTAGCAGCAGAAGCAGGAGTAGAAGTAGTAGTCGTCGTAGTCGTAGTCGTAGTCGTAGTCGTAGTCGTAGTCGTAGTCGTAGTCGTAGTCGTAGTCGTAGTCGCAGTCGCAGTCGCAGTCGCAGTAGAAGTAGCAGTAGCAGTAGCAGTAGCAGTAGCAGTAGCAGTAGCAGTAGCAGTAGCAGTAGCAGTAGCAGTCGAAGTAGCAGTAGCAGTAGCAGTAGCAGTAGCAGTAGCAGT